CCTCAAAGTGATCTCAAAACAACTTGAAAACAAGAGCCAAGTGTTACTGTGAGCATAATTCAACAAATCTGCATGGAAGAAAATGAGCCTGGGTACAAACCGCCATTCCGAACCACATTTCGCACACATTTTTTTACCTTGAGGGCCTTTTCGCAATCAAACGCATTGCCAGAAGAGATAGTCTCCCCAACAAGCAAAGCGTCATTCATGTCCCGACTTGTTTAGTATCTATGTCTAGTTTCCTCCTCCTGAGTCTTTTTTTTGAAAAGCTATATTTATGTATTCAAAAACAAACAAAAACAAATAGAAAAAAACTAAAAACAAAACAAAGAATGAAAAAATCATGTTTAATCATTTTTGTTTATAATTTACCTTACTGTAGCCCTGTTTAGTTATTCTATACCTGCCCATTTACTATAGCTCATTGTTACGTGTATTATTATTGGTACCAGAATAACTTGCACCGCTAGTCCCCGGGCAAGAAGATATATTGCCCCTCCAGCTTTCTCTGATTTTTCAGTTTCATCTTCCAAGAACAGACAAAAACCCATCAAGGATTCGGAACCATTGGATGCCAGCCTCGAACCCGAAAGTCACTTCAAGAATTCAAGATATGCTTGCGTACAATCCTTTCTAGGCATTTGCATAAAACCGACGTTAGACTTACTGGTTTATAGTTTTCGGCCTTTTGCTTTGACCCAGATTTATGCAGAGCAACTACCGTCGCTCTTTNTTATGCAGAGCAACTACCGTCGCTCTTTTCCAATATCCCGGTATCTCGCCTTTATCCAGTGATGCCTGAAATAACTTTGAACATCTCCGCTAGAGATTTAACCATAGCGGGATGGATGCCATCCGGTCCAGCTTCAGGGTAGCTAACTCGTGAAAGACCTCGTCTGGTTTCACAGTTATTTTAGTCAGCTGTGATGTCACACTGGGATAATCTGCCATAACCAATGGTCCTGTCTGTCTGTACACCTGTAGTGATCGTAGAAGTAGTAGTAGTGAAGTCACGCACAGAAATCAGAACACGAACTACGCAATAGGAATCATGGAACTCGAATTAGAAAACCGATGGCACTGGACCGCAATGGCTCGAACTCGCAATAACCCGCAGGATCGAGACGCGAGGAAAAAGGCCACAAGACAGGCGAATCACAAAGTCGTTTATTGAAGGAAATGAAAGTGAATATATATGTACACAAGAAAAGATCATTGGCTACCTTAGTTCCCAACAATAATATTGCATCACATCTTGCGTCATATTGCTCTTCTCTGCATTGTATCTGATTGGTTGGAACGGTCCACCAATGACGTGTATCCGGAGGCTGTGCACGAGCTACTGGCGTCAGCGCTCAAGGTCGATTGACCACCAGTGTTCGGAAACTGTACCGCGCTGCTCCAGGGCAGGCGTAATCTCGTAGATCCGAATCGCCACAACACCCCTATGAAGAAATCCAGAAGTGTATTTGCTTTGTGTTCGTCACTTAGGGCAAGACGTCCATCAGTGCTTTCTAATACGAACTGAGCCGTTTGTAAATCGCCCTCTTTCTACTCCTTGTGGCCAGAGCTCTGTCTAAACATGGTTTCCACTAAGGTGGCCAATGCTCGAGTCTCCTGGGCCTCAGAGGTGCAAAGTCTTCGGTGAGACTCAGCAAACTATCTTTAATTGCAGCCTATCTCTCATCGATGATAGGATCATATATTGACGGTTCCCAGCCTAAACCTAAGCTGTCTCTCGAAGACTCTGTTCTTGAACATTCCCATACAAGCGAACCATTGTGATCCCTGGCTTAGTGTACTGTGCCAGTACTTTTAGCTGTAGGACAGCATGGTCGTTTCTGCCTAGGGGGACCTCTATCCTGAGACTAACGACATCTAACCCTGCTCGAGAAATAGCTAAGTCAAGTATTGAGGAACTCTGGCTGAAACGAAACCGAGTGGGTTACCTTACATGCTGTTCAAGGGCACGGGAATGAATCCACTCCAGTAGTGCCCTTCTCGCAGTTTCTTTAGGAGCTCGTTCTTCTTCCCAAGCTATTTCAGGAAGGTTTAGATCTTCCACGATAAGAAACATAAGGGCCCTCGAAGCACCTCATGTAGGGTGCGCATCAGTTCATTATCCTCAGTCGCCGTTCAGTTTGGTGCCGTTTAAACGCAGACAGTGCATATAGGTCCCGATCCAACCCTTAAGTGGCAAGCAGTAACCCGAATATTGGGAGCAGCTAACTGCAGTGGACACTCCCATTGGTGACAAGTAGTCCGCACAGCTACGTGGACTCCGCCCCCTTGCCTCCCGTCTACTCTATACTGTCTATATTCGGCATACTTCTGCAGACCCAGAATCATATCTTCAATCCTGAGCCAAGTCTCAGTGACAGCAATGATATCTGCTTCTGCTATCTTGGTCTTTAGCTCCCCCCAATCACCCCAGAGGCTGTAGGCATTTGTATACCAGACAGCCAAATCAGGGGACCTTAGCTTTATTTCTCTCGGGCTGTTTATTGTTGGGGTGCCCTAGGGCGTAAGATCCTAGGTCAGGTCTTGAAGACACGAAGTATTACACGGGTGAGAGACTATGGTCCCGGATCTCAGTAGTTTCCAAAGTTTCTTCTGGTCCTGTGTCCCGGTGAGCCGGGTACGGACAAGGCTCCACTGCGGCGGATGTTGGGTATTTAGAGTGAGTCTGCGTCCTGTTTGTCTAGGAAGGTTACCGGAAATGGGTTAAGGGGAGGGAGGAGGGGTGTAGTATCTGCATACGATGCGAGAAATCTGAAAGCACAGGAAAAAAATACTGAACATGCTATGTATAGCATAATGAAGTGGGGAGATGTTTATCGTTCAGGGATTAGGCCAAGATAACGGTCTAGATTCCTTTTCAAAGCAGATCTTGTGGGGGCATTAACTGCTTCTGGGAGTGGTCTATTCCAACGAAATCGGCCCTTTTGAAGGAACGTAGCATTCTGGAAGAGGGTCTGGAAGTTGGCCAGCGGACAATATAGTCAAAGGAAAGCAGTGGGTGATCACTTCTACCAACAGGACTTAGATACTCGATCATGTCGATCTGGCGGCGTTCATTTGTAGTCGGAAGATCAAGCAAAGATCGACGTTGGCCGACACGGTATCTCGTGGGAGAATTTACGTGTTGGTACCAGGAGATTTCGTTGAAGAGGTTTATAAGGGGTGCACCAAACAATCTATCTCTGGAGTAGCATCTGGTCCAGTTGATACTCGGGGCGTTGAAGTTGCCTAGGATAAGAAGGTTTGAGAAAATGCAGGTGGGACGGAGGTCGCGAAGCTGAGTTAGAAGTGATTGACATTC